TTTAATACGGAATTTCATTTATAATTCTGTATCATATTTTGTGATTATAATTTTCAAACAGTATCATCTCGGGATAGGCTGTTTGTAATCTTGGGGACAAGGAACAAACAGTAGAATTTCTAGAAACACTTATGATGGGTTGAAAATCAGTGATGAATGTACCAAATCGAGTTCTAATATTCTTAGATTTTTTGATCGTGAAAAGATAATAAAATATGAATATATATTTGATTCCATTTAGTGTATAAAGAAAATATGGTTAGTTCTTTTTTTTGGTAATGTAAAATATGAATTCCACAGAAGACGAATTCAATAGTAAGTTTCTGAAATATCGTTTTATTGAAAGTTAAACTTTTTCAAACCTATTGAAATTGGCAGATCGTTAGAGCATCCCCAATTGAAAATCTATCTCTTGAAATTCTAAACTTGAATATATGTATATGTATATTATATATATATATGTACTAGGACCGGACCCGCCCTACGGGCGGGCATGCAAAATAATTTTTTTTTTCAATTTTAATGTATTTTTAGTTTATTTATAACTATAATTTTCACTACTTTTTCTACATATTTTTAGTATTTCTTTTTCTCTTAGAAATTAAATATACGTTACTATATTAAAACAAATATATCTATTTTACAGTGTTCAAAATATTTAATTTTCTTGAATTTAATAGATTATTAATATATTTTTTTGAATTTTAGAATTTAAACAATTAGAAAAAGTAAAGCCAATTTATTATCTTTTTCTTTTAAAATAAATTAGGTGTTGCTGTTTAATATTTATAAACAACATGTATATATTTATGAATTATTATATTTGAGGACGAATATATTCATGTTTTTTTATGTTTCTTCAAACTCACATCAACAAAAATTTGAAAAAAATAAATTTTGCAATTCTTTTATTTTTTTACTACTAAAATCCAGGCTATCTAATAAAAATATAAAACCATAACTATTTGATGTACGGTTTGCTATGAAAATTTATTTATGGAGCATTTGATGTATTGTTAATATGTATAGTTCAAATGTTTAAAAATGTGAATTTTATTATAAATTTTACACAGATGTGTCATGTGTAATTAAGAAATGGATGTCTTATTCAAGAAAACAAAATACCCAAGAAAATATTTTACTTGATTAAATCGAATAGTTGATTATATTTTGTTGTAATTATATATCACTTCTCAATTTAAAACCAGGTAACTAATGGTGGTGAATTACTGGCTAAACACGATAAATATCTACAAACAAATATAACTGGTTTTTAAAAAATAAAAAAATGAATTCTCCAAAATGTCATAAAATAATACTTAAAAGTTACCAATATTTTTTTTCAGAATTTGCTTTCACTCCTTTTAGTAACTTAAATATATGTTTTCAGTAATAGGAAAATGTATATTACTAAATTATCCACTATCTAAAGAAGTTTTATAAGATCAGACCCACGTCAACTCTGATTCCTTTAACCGGAAACCACAGAAACAACTCTTGTACACTAAAATTCTAAACAAATCACTGATATGGGTATAACTGATCATCCCGTGACATTATTCAGCAGAGAATAGGAAAACACAGCACTTGCTTGTAAAGGAGGTACCTGCACGGCTGCACTTCGCAACTCATTATTTATTAGTAAGAAAAATATGCAAAAACAGAGAGCTCAAAAACAATTTTGTTAAATAGATTCATTCGTCCTCAACTTTGCAGATATTTTTGTTGCTCTAGTCATAAAATAACTGTAAATAAAAAATAATGTGATCAAGCCAAAGAACGTAATTTTGTTATAGCTCCCAACTGCATTAACAACTAAGAAGAAGAGTCTTGAAGATAGAGGCAGAGTCTGAAAGTCTGAAGTGATTGTTGCTCCTGTAAGACTACGCAACACCTATTGCATAAGCTCGTTGTGTAGCAGTAGTTTTTGCAACACTTTCTTATGTTTTCTCTGCAGTTCCTGATTTCCACTTCAGGTTGGTTTGTTCAATTTTCCAAGGTATCTGCTTCCTCCTTAACTGCCAGATACTCAATTATCTGCCCCTCTCTGCCTCTCCTTTTCGAGCAACTTGCTTAACTGGCCCTGGTCTGCTTTAAGACATGAAAGTTGGATAGATGAATTGGGTAAGCTAGAATTTATAGAAAATATATGACATTGATGAAGAACGGTGTTAAGGATTATAGAAAACCTGGGCCTTTAGAACAATGATCCTTGATAAGGTTTGAGAGAGGTGCTCATTCACAGAGCTGTCACACTCTNAAGCTAGAATTTATAGAAAATATATGACATTGATGAAGAACGGTGTTAAGGATTATAGAAAACCTGGGCCTTTAGAACAATGATCCTTGATAAGGTTTGAGAGAGGTGCTCATTCACAGAGCTGTCACACTCTTCAACTGTTGTTTGAAGTTTCTGAACAATCATCAAAACATGACAATAGCTTTTACAATCCACAAAGTCTATGGATGCAGCTTAGTAAACAGTCACAAAGAGATACACTTACTTGTTTCCCTAGATTCAAGAGTCAAGACAACATAGGCATCACTTGACATCATGTCTCTGTTAGCTAAACAATCCAATAAACTGTACCGTTCCTTACTCCAACTATCAAATGTGTATAAAGCTCATCAAGAAGATTATATCAATAAAGAAACAGAAAAAAAGATTGCAAGTTAGAAATTTTACTATCTTCTTTGACAATGAATTTGAACAAACTATCCATGAATTTTGTAGAAAGACTTGATTTAAGAAATTATAGTTTCTTTGTCGAGCAAGCTCTCCATTTTGTTCTCCTCAAGCTTGGTTTTAGGAACTCTAGGAGTTAATACTTTGACCTTAAAAAAAAAGATTCACGATTTGAGTGTAACTCATCATGAAAAAAAATAAGACTTTGTCTAGGTATTGGTGTTGGGCTAGGCCAAGCAGTTCACTGTGATTACGCAACGTCGCCGGAATAATTTGACCTCACTATATGATCAGCATCGCCTCATTGGAGCTTTAAGCCAAACCGTCGTCCTGCCCGAACCACTCTCGATTCACGATGCTCCAATCCCCGGCACTGAGCCAAGCAAGAACCGCCATCTTCACTGCCACCGTTGTTAAGGCAAGCAAGAATTGCCGAGGCTGTCGGAAGTTTTGTCGGACACAGTAAGAACTGAAGGAGTTCACAGTTATGGCTCTGGCCCTGTCTCCTGTAAATCCCCATCATTAAATCGATTCAACAGGTAAACAGAGAGAGAGATTCCCAAAATCATTTAAGAACGAAAATAACCTTAGAGTATGTGATGATGGAAGAAGGATATCCACCGTCGCAAGAGAGATAATAAGCTTTGAATGATTGAAGTGCTTGTTCTAGTCGAAGAAGTAAAGGTGGTTGTTAATGTCGAATTCAATGGAATCTCGTAACGTTTCAGAGGAAGAATCTCATAAAAACCGACACCAATGAAACTCGACCATGGATTCTTCACGACGATTCGTCTTACACAAAATCAAACGACACGATCCAAACCAAACAAAGATATTCTTCACGTCGACTTCAGCATTTGGATCCTTCAATGACGGGAACAAAGAAAGGGATTGATAGGCTTAGGGTTTCTTGATATCGAGTCCATTAAAGAGACATAAAGCCCACACTCATTATCAGTCCGCTTCTTGACGATTCGTGAAAAATGCACCGTTTAACTAAAACGGACAGGTGTCCCATTCTGGTAAAATGAATTAGTGATGTGGCTTCTCTTGGAAAGAGAGAAGTCTACTTTATATATATAGATGTAAGTATGAGATCCATTATTTTATTGAGAACATCACCCTAAAAATTTTTAAAACAAAATTTTAAGAATCTTTAGGGTGAAATTCTCCACAAAATAATAGACTACACATCTATATATATAATATATACATATAAGCATATACAAATTTAAAACTCTAATAGGTAGAACCACATTAGAGATGTTCCTATTGGACGATCTTAATCTATGAAAATAGTCATTCTTTATAGTGGTACCACACTTATTAGCTAACAATAGATATATTCTTTTTTTTTTTTTAACATTAGATATATTCTTTATATGAAAAACTAGTAAATGGTCATCTCCAATATTGTAATAATGTTAATCTATTTCAATTAAACTTTAGACTATTTTATGAAACCATTTATTTTTAGGTTTTCGTTACAAAAAAAGTTTCAACAAGGAAAATGACCAAAAAATAGTTCATTAAAGAACAAAAAACTTTATTATCCTTTGTTTTCTAAATAATAAATAGAAAGAAATAAATAATAAATAAAGAAGTATTTTGTAGTTGTGAATTATATATTTTTAAATTATAAATTTTATAGTTTTTAATAATTTTTTTTGAAATTCAAAAATGCTTTTAAACTATTTTAATTTTTTTATATTCAAAATTTATGTTTATTTATTTATTTTTAAAAATGTTAACTTCTACTTACAAAACTGCACCTATTAATTCTAAAATTTAAGTTTAGATTAATTAACATATATATAAATATATTTACCGTTTAATAAAAAAAAGTTGGTCATTCTCTTCTTTTTATATTTTTTTGCTAAAAATAAACTAAAATGTGCTATCTTATAAAATTTCTCTTAAACTTTACATAAAAATGAGTTTTATTTACATATGTTGAAAGGTGTCCAAACAACAATTTCTATATGTTGAAAATTGATAATGTCCCAATATTATTAGATAATAATAGATTTGTTTATCAAAAAGGTGTATTTTAATTGGTACTCAGTCTAAAAGAATAACTAAAGGCAACGATAATCATCGATTCATTATCAATTTATCATACAAAATGAGTTGCTTACCAGAAAGCGAAGTGTTTTAATTTTTCTTCTCAACCAATCACCAAAATAAATTTATTTTTGTTCCCAATCCCTAAACTTTTTTCAAATAATAATAGTGTATCACATTTCTCTTTATAATAGTTAAGCCTAACCTCTCAACATTTCTAACTCCTTCCTCCGAAGAAAAAGTGTGGAAGATGATGGACTCCCTTCTAACTCCTTCATCTTCCTCCCATATGCAAACTCCGGCCACGTCTTATGACCACGAAGACTTCCTTAACCACATCTTTGCCTCCGCTCCATGGTCCTCAGCCGACGAAACTCATGCTCATCCGCCTCCTCCTTCCGATGGCTTCGTCGACTCTAGGAATCACCAGATCATGATGATGCCTTTATCATCTCACCATCAAAACGATAACGTTGATGGCTCCTCCGCCCACGCTCTTTACAATGGCTTCTCCGCCACCGGATCTCTTCCTTTCCACACTCCTCAGGCAATAAACCTAAACAAATCTCTTTTCTCTCTTTCTATATATATATATATATTTTTCTATATATATATTTTTTTATTTATCTTTTATCTTTTTTTTGTTGTTGTTGAAAAGATATATGTTTTGATCTTGATGGATATTTATGATGAAATTAGGGGTCGGGAGGTGGACTGATGCACCAACAAGGCCAAACGCAAACGCAACCACAACAGCAAGGGAGTGCATCTACAAATACTGGTGGTACTGCGGCAGGACCGTCCCAGGGTAGGACTAAAGTCAGAGCTAGGAGAGGTCAAGCTACTGATCCTCATAGTATCGCCGAGCGGGTTAGAAGTTTTATTATTTTTTATCCTGAATGTTTTTCGTTGCATTAACTCGTTTCTGTTACCGAGAAAGGCGTAGACATTTTTAATTCTTTGAAGAAAAGTTTAAGACTTTTGGACTATTTTCTGAAATATTGTGAAAATATTTTATGGGGGCAGCTACGGAGAGAGAGAATTGCGGAGAGAATGAAAGCTCTTCAAGAACTTGTTCCAAACGGCAACAAGGTATTTCGTTTAATCACATTCAGCTATTTTTCCCTAATTTAATTTCACATAATTTATTTTTTGGTCGAAATTTATTTAACATAATTTATATCACCAATCTGACTGTCATTTGTGCGGATAATTTACAATTTATTGACCAAATTAGAATTTAGTAAATAAAATTAGATTTGACCCAAAAATTGTAAATAAAATTAGTTTTTTGCATGCTCATATAACTGGTGGTTGTTTAGCCTGTGTTTATAAAAATACCAGTCAAATGATTAAACACTGATTAGCTAATTAATTAGGCTTCAATGATAAAGTTAATTAATGCAGTAATAAATGTGTAAGGATCTCAGTTCTGACATTTTTTTTTGTATATTTTATATGAATAAATTGACAGACAGACAAGGCATCGATGCTGGATGAGATTATAGATTACGTCAGATTTTTACAACTCCAAGTCAAGGTGAATCTCTCTCTCTCATGTAACTATGTTACAATTATAATTTCATGTTTCGTAGAACAAGATATAGTCTTCTTTGTAGAAACTGCATTATGTTTTATTATATTCACACTATTTTTTTACTTAAAGATTCTTTCTCTGTCTAGTAGTTGACATGTTAGATAAAAAGAAAAGCTGACATATTGTACAATATTTTTTGTAACTGAATTACTACAATATTTACATGGCAATTAATCAAATATGGGCCTCTGCAACTAAAATTCCTTATGCTCCCTCTCCTTTAATTATTTTCCTGGATTGTCATATACACGCCTTACATAATGTACATTTAGATTAAATAATAGTGGGCGGTGTACTAATCCAATTTTGGATTTAATTATTGCGTTTTAGGTACTGAGCATGAGCAGATTGGGTGGTGCTGCTTCCGTTTCTTCTCAAATCTCTGAGGTAATTAAGAAGATTTAATTGCCTATCAGTGCATTTGTCATATAATTGCGTTACGTTTACGTATACGGTATATTTATGTAAAAAAAGATAAATCTTGCAAGAAGTTCAAAACAGAGAAAACACTAACTTGAGAGCACGCGTGCCGACCATAACTACTTAGGGCTTCACCTTTTTGTCTTTAAATTTTATTTTCAAATCTCTTTCATTATATTTTTTTCAGGCAGGTGGGCCCCACGGGAACGCGTCATCCTCCGTCGCCGGAGGTAACCAGCCTACCGGAAACTCCAATGACGGCTTGACGATGGCTGAGCATCAAGTGGCGAAGCTAATGGAAGAAGACATGGGCTCGGCGATGCAATACCTTCAAGGAAAAGGTCTTTGTCTCATGCCTATCTCTTTAGCCACTGCCATCTCAACCGCCACGAGCCACACTCGTAACTCTTTGATCCCTGTAGCTGCCGACGTCGGAGGTCGTCCTTCTTCTTCCAATCTATCCGGCAAGACCGTGCAGTCAACGAACACGTTGAAGTCAAATAGCAACGGTAACGGCGTGACTGATGGATCGTCGTCTATCGCCGTCAAAGAGACGGTATCCATTTCGAAGCCGTGATAACGATCGTTCTCTTTTTGTGCTTTTGGGGTTATGCAAAGAGATACCAAAACAAAACAGAAAAAAGTGTGATGTAGTGGGAGATGAAGGAAACCAACTTTTGGTCAAAGTCTACGAAGAATAATTAAGGTTGTGTTTGATTTGTACTCTCTTAACAACGCCATGCCTCGTAGAGTTTTGGTTCTTTTACTTGCTACTACAAAACCACATTACATTTTCCACTTTTAATACTTATTTTAATATAATATATTTGATTAACATAAACTTGTCAAATATTATAAGTAATATAGCTATAGCCTAGATGATCTGATTTGTTTGTCTCAAACAAAGTATCTAATTTATTAAAATGGGAGTACAAATAAAAATTAACCCTAACTTTTCCTAAATATTTACAAAGATATACCACTGGAATAAAACAGGGTCGTTTTATCTCCTTACTAAACCTGCGACATCATAACGGCGTTCGTCTAGCTCTCCTCTATTATAAAACCGGCCTATGTAAACTCTCTCTCTCGTTTTGTCTCTGAAATCGCAAAGTTGATTTCTTTGTATGTGATTTGGGGTTTTGAAGATGATCCCTCTGTTGATCTGAAAGCAGCTGGGGATCCTTACCTTTACTTTTTAATGGGTCGAATCTCTTATCTTATGTCGGAGGAGACTCTTCGTGAGGTAGGAGTCTGGGTTGTAAACGTGGAGTTCACACTCTTTCGTTGCACGAGTGATCATAAATATTTCTTCTTTACAGGCTATGAGTAAATACGGCAAAATTAAGAGCTTGCGGTTGGTCAGACATATTGGTGTAAGGCTTTGCAATTGCTCTGCTTTGTGATCTTACTTCTGTTGGTTTGTACACATATTGTCTTAGCATAACTGTGTTGATTATACATTATGCTGTTACATTTTTCTTAGTGAAGGGTGCTTCACGAGAATATGCTTTTGTGGAGTATGAGAATGAAAAGGAGATGTGTCATGCTTACATGGTACTATGGTGATGCTAACTTTTTTTTGTTCTTTAAAGCTGTTTAAAATGTATATTCTCTGTTTTAACAGTGGAGTTTAGTTGTCGGAAAGATTTGTTCTTTTGTGGTGGTTTTTTACATGATGCTCATCATCCACTTATTGATGGTCGAGAGATTATTGTTGATTATAATAGGCAGCAATTGATGTAGAGAAAATTAGGTGACTGCCATTTCCTTACTCTCCTCAAGGAGTTAGATCTTCATTATCCCTTAGATTAATATTTCTTCTTCTTCTCTGGAAAAAGGAGGTGGATTTAGTGGCAGGAAAGAATTTAGACAATCGTTTTGGAGGACGAAAAATACCTACACCATAAAAATGATTACTAAATCTATGTTAACTAAACCAGTAAACCATTCTCGACTCCCGTCACAGCCAACTTTGAATTATTAAATGTCATTCCATAACATTGTTTCATGAACGAAGGAAACCAATCTTTGAAATCAACTCTAAATAACAAACTCCCAAACATTATTGATAAAATATTGATGATATCGACATTCTAGCTATATAACATAGTTTTGGTCAGTATGTTTTGGGTATAACATTGAAACTATACCGGTTAATTTTCTTACACAAAATTATGATTCTTTAGTAGTCATGCATATTAAACTTACGATTCTTTGATATAGTCAGGACTATTTTCAATTATATTATATTCACAATTATATTCTTTATTTACAACTTTTGAATATTGTCACAATCAATATTCACAATTATATCTTCATTATAATCAATCAACTAGAGTTTCACCCGCACGGATGTGCGGGTATATTTTTCATTTTATAAATATATAACGAAATTTTTTAAATATATGATTTATAATTTAGATTTAATTATAACTATATCTAATAACGAAATACAAAAATACTTATTTATTAAAAAAATTCAAAATTTTTGGTAAGATTTTGTTAGATTTTTTCAACAGATTTTGTTATATTTAAATTTATTTATTATTAATATCATTATTAATTATTAAGATATTTTGAAAATAATATATATTTGACTGGTTAATTTAACAATCAAATATGTCAAATTAAATAATTAATGACATGGCCGAGCATAACTTTTAAATAGTAGATAAATTTGGTACTTCTCTTTTAATAGAGAAAATATATAATTAGTGAATCACCAAAAAATCTAAACTTCTATTAGACTACCTTTATGTTAAATAAATTGATTAATATATATATATATAAATTATAATTAGTCACGCTTAAAATCAAACAATTAATATCTAAATACTAAATGTCTAATTAAGCGTTAAAAATCACCAATATAATTGGCTAAGCGTGATCCAGTACACCCAAGAAAAAAACAATATATAACATGATCCAGTAATGCAATATATTGTTAGTATCGATAAACTAAGCAATGCAAACACAACTATTAAACTTTTGTGTTTCAATATATATATCGTAAAACAACACCCGTGCGGACGCACGGGTCAAAATCTAGTTATATGTTATTATTTTAAAATATGAAAAAGGGTTCAAGAAACATAATGAAAACCTCAATAATGAAGGTTAATAACGAATAGTTGGTGATTTTGGAGGCAATTATTCAATTTCTTCATTTTCGGCAAATTCTCACCATTTTGGTGGTGATGGTTAATCAATTTCCCACTATTTGGCTGTTATTCCCACGTTGAGAAACTCCAATCGTGATGTTCTATTACTATATTGTGTGTATTCAGACTTCTATAAATAGATAATTCTGGTTGTTGTTCCACTGCAATTTCTTCAATAGAGTACATTCTTTGCACATTTAGTAATTTGTTATACCAAACACCCATTAATGGTAGATAATATTCAACGGTCTCTACAAGACCTTGATTTTGGGGTGTAAAGATGCCCAAGTTTCTCTTACCAATTGATGTATCAGACTACTGCGAAGAATCGATTTATCATTATTGGAGACTTGTCAATTCAAGGTCTAGTTGAAGTAACAGACTGCTGGTGGAAGTTGGATTTGGCTTAGCATTTGTAGATTGAGATATATGGCAAGCCCTTTTGTTATATGTGAAGTTGGCTGGGGAATTACTGCTAACTTTTGGAAGGATAATTGGACATCTTTGGGTCCCCTTATTGATATTACTGGTTCGCAGGGGCCTATGATATCTGGCTTGCTGTTAGAAGCTGTTGTGGCAGATGCGTTGAGAGAGGAAGGGTGGTAGATTAGCAACTTTAGATCCAGGAATCCTATTATTTCATTCCTAAAGAATTGTTTGCCGGATCTTCTACCTATTGTGTCTTCTGCAGCAGATGATCAATACCTTTGGTCTACTGGTATAGGAAATCCAAAGAATCGCTGCTCCACAGCTGAGATGTGGAGACGTGTAGAGCTCTGCATCCTTTAGGAAATCAGGTTTCTTGGCATGAGCAGGTGTGGTTTAAGAACCGTATACCGAAGCATGCTTTTATCACCTGGATTATAGCTAGGGACAGGTTGGTTACAAGGGATAGATTGAGAAGCTGGGGGATTAATGTTCCTTCAGTTTGTTTGCTATGCAATGCTTCAGACGAAAACCGCCAGCATCTGTTCTTTGATTGTGGCTACTCATTGGAGGTTTGGTCTGTTTTCTATTCTCGACTACATCTTTCTCCTCCAGTGAATTTTGAGGACAGCTTGCATTGGTTGAAGGAACCAAGTCAGGATGGTAATATCAATTGTATCACCCGGCTGCAATTCCAAGCTTCAGCTTATCTTATTTGGAAGGAAAGGAATGCTCGTTTGCATACAAATGTCTCTTGCCCAGCTCAGAGTATTATTTCTGATATTATTCGCTTGATCCAGCTCCGCCTTGATCCCATTGCTAGAGATCAACAAGCCCCTCTTGGTTTCTCCATCCTTTATTCTTGGTTTCGATTCTTTTGACTTGTGGATAGTAGGAATCATGATATCTTTTGTTTCTCATGTAGGTCTGGCTGTTTTTGTGTCCCTTGTTGGGAGGGCCTTGTATTTATGTACTGGGCATGGCCTTTTTTTAAATACTCCATCTGTTTCATTTTAGTTGTCATTTTAGGTTTTTGCACACGGATTAAGAAAACATTTAATTTTACATATTTTTAAGATAAAAACATAATTACCTATACATGTAACCAATTTTTAACCAATAGAAAAATATAATATCATATAAAACTAATAAATTTTCTCTCGAAACTCTAAAATAACACTTATTTTAAAGCAATTTTTTTTCTTTAGTATGATAACTACTTCGAAATGGAGGGAGTATAAAATAAAAGGAGTTTAAATAAAAATAAAAAAATAAAAATTCAAGGAGACAAAATTTGCGACCAGTCATTGACACATTGCCACAACTTTGGAGACATACGGGTTTGGTTAATGGTCGGATTATAGCATGAAGGCTTTTTCAATTTATTTTCCCCTCGGAATAATCAATGTGGGCTACATCTATTTTAAAGATCATCATCATATAAATTAAAAATAATATTTGTTTCCCAACATAATGTTTTTATTTTATACTCCCTCCGTTTTATATTAAGTGTCGTTGTAGAGAATTTTTTGTGTTACAAAATAAGTGTCGTTTTCGGTTTTCAATGTAAAATTTATTAATTTTATTATGTAATTTGTTTTTCTATTGGTTAAAATATGGTTAGGTGTATGGGTAATTGTGTTTTTATATAGGAAATATGTAAAATTAATTGTTTCCTTAATCCGTGTGCATAGCTCTAGAGTGACACTTATATTGAAACAGAGGGAGTATATATTAAGGATATATAAGAGATTGAGTGAATTATAATATTTACAATATTGATAAATTGTAAAATCATCAAATTTAGTTGGTGAATATTCATATTTATTTAATTTTTAATATAGTTTTAATTTTTTCCTTCAGATAATACGTACATATCTTTTATTACCTTTTTGAAAGATTTTTTGTGATTCCAAAATTGTATAAATTTGTATATTTATGTTAATATTATACATAAATCTAAGTGGTAAAAGTTTTTAATATGCGA